TATGTTATGTAATTTTAGTCAAAAAATTATAACAGAACATTGTTCAACATCAACATTGTTGAAATTGCTGTAACAGATGATTGACAACTAAATTCCTGTTATTTATTGGTCTGTGGTATACAACTTTTGTGCAAAATCGTGAAATGGAACAAAACTCAGTGATAAACAGCTTGGGCCACCCCCTCTTGGTATGGATTAGGTTAGAACTATGACCCTTAATACCACCTCAAATTTTGTTGTAGTTTCTTAAGTCGATATTTCAGGTACTGATTCCATGCTATTAATTTTTTTCAAAAACAGTATGTTTGTTTATGTTTTGTTTTGCAAGTTACCTTGTTATGCGAAGTTAAGGATTTAACCTGTTCGGCCTAAAATCCTGCTACTACATACTACATTATTTTTAACCATTTCATATATTAAACCATTAACTACATATTTGTATGAAGGTAAAAGATTACGGATGGAATAATATATGTTAATACTTACACGAGTAGGGCCAAATTGGAATCTAGATAAAATATTGTGAGCTCTTAAACATTTGGATTTGAATTCCTGAAACTTGTGCAGGAGACTCGCACATACAAAACAGACATGTTGGTCTCTATCAAATATCTGTAAAGAATATAAGCAAACTTCTATCAATCTATACATATAATAAAACTGTACAAATGAAAATTTTGTTCATTAACCCATTAGAAGTCACTGTACTCATATGAGTACACCTAAAATTCTACGCATAAACTTAATATCTCTTATATTTTTGTAGGGTAACCCTATTATCTTAATTCATTACAAAATTGTCTAACTATATTGATAAATTATATGAGGGTAGTGCAATATTTTTATCACATTATTTACATTGCCCGCCAATCGACTTCAAAATCAAACCCTACGTGGCGGAAATGTGCTCCCTCCTGCAAAATGGAGTTGGACAATATCCACTAAAATTTAAAAGCAACTACGATGTGTCCTTTGTCATTCAAGAGTACCTATGTTGGCAATGTAAAAAGTGCTAAAACACTTTGTGTAGAAATATCGTGTTTTAAAAATTTTCATACTTAGGTGGTCAGTGTACCCAACTGAGTACACACCTGAATTATCATGAAAAATACTATTTTCCATTTTTTTTCTCGCATTTACTGTTCTTATACTCTCAGTTGATTACGAAAATAAACAAAATTAAAAAAAAATATTGGTACTTTGTATTTGACCTTTAATGGGTTAAAGATATTGAAACAATATGTATATAGCAGGGGTGATTGGGGACATCGACGGAACCCAAAAATGTGGTTAGATTTATTGTTATAACTTATATACACGTCGTTTTTTTTTTGAAACAAATGACATGAATTGTTTGAAATTAAAGTTATAAAACACTGTCGATGTCTTCTATTGGAATAATAAATACTTGCTTTAAAATAAATTTATAAAATATCGTAAATAGCCTTACCGGAACCTGAACTAAATGTGAGTAAACAACTCCAATAGAATCACTTGAAGAAGTTTCTAAACTGAACATCTTCACGTCTGTCACAAGACACACCCTACAATACTTGAATTTACCCATTTTTCATTTATAATAGAAATTATTTCGAATAATAAAGAGAAACAATACAAGCGCACAACGCAAGCGAAATTCCAAAATTGTTTGTCAAACAAATTGTCAGTCAATAATGTCAATGTCAAATTAACTACTCGTGTAATAGACTCGAGCTAACTCGATTGGGCTTAATGAATCGAAGTTACGATTTTTGATTTTCTAGAGGTGCTGATGTAGAAAATGTCTCTATTGGTGAATAGTTTACTGAGTAATGGCTACATTCACATTCAGTGAATTTTTGTTTTGAATAATTAAATGGAAGCTAGCTTTTGTGGTCACCAGATGGCGCAAATGTAGCAAGAGGCAATCGTAGATGTTTATCATATCAGTGGAGGTAATCTATCCAATAACTGCAGTTGTTAAATAACATTATGAACATTATGAATAAATAACATTGTTAAATAACATTATGAATAACATTATTACTGAACTTGCAATCATATAAGTGATTGTGACCGAGAACTAAACTCTATGCCAGGGACGTCGTCCAAAGATGTAAACCTTTATCATATCAGTGACGTCATCTTTGAATATGTGAGACTAGAATAAAAATATAGCTTTAGGAGCTAGAAGCACTATATTAGCTGTGGAGTATTTCGACATTAGTCCCTATTGAATGAAAAACGAGAGATAGATACTAGCGCCATCCGCTAGAGTGTGAGTGGGTGGGACATCCACCATGAATCGTTGATGCTTCGCCGATTGATACTTATTATAACTCTTTAACCGATTGTCTTGTGATATGATGATGGTCATGATGGGTATCATGTTGTCCTATTCCCCGCGCACTCACCGAAATGTATCCGGTAGAAAGGCTTGCAACCTTACGCCTGTGTTAGAGGCTTAACGCCGTTTTACTCATACTACACCACACTACACATTTTTGATTCTAGGGCAGACAAATCACTACATATTATAAAACAAAGTCGCTATCCGCCGTCTGTCTGTCACTATGTATGCTTAAATCTTTAAAACTACTCAACGAATTTTGGTGCGGTTTTCTTTAATAGATAGTGATTCTTAACTCGTCGAGTACCGGTTTTGTAGACAATTATAGAACAATAGGTTGCGGTCATCGGTGACCGCTTGGTGTTTGACAGTTTAAGGAAATACATGCACATTGCACCCGTGCGAAGCCAGGGCGGGTCGCTAATCAGTAATAAATTTTGCTCGGGCATAACCCAGCTCTCACTATACACTAAAGTCGGCATCAGGGCACGGGCGTGACGATGCTCGCTTTCTAAAAGACGAATATAACTTTGAGGAATTGATATTTTATTTTTATACGTTAACATACATATAAAACATATACTTGTATAAAGAGTTACTACAAATAAAAGACAGGTATTATACAACGACAAAATTTTATTGTCACTTTACTCGAGGTCTGTAGATGTACCTACTAGCCAGATGGCCAGTCTTTGGAACATCTTTGGTGATGGTACGAATTGTCAGTAAAAGTTTGTCTATATTCGCATTCGGCAAGCATTTGATTACCTACGGCAATGGTTATCAATGGGGTAAAGATTTTTACAGCCCGTCTGTCGACCAGTAGATAAACTGGAAATTGAAAAAAAAATCATTAAACACTCAATTATTATCACTATCTTCATCATCCTCCTCGTCCTCTGCTGAATTAAGTTCTTCTTTCTAACCCGTTTTTTCTTAATTTCACCCATACATACATAACATCACGCCTTTTATCCCCGAAGGGGTAGGCAGAAATGCACACAGAAGTAACACCCACTTTTCACTATTTATGTTATGAGTCCCATGTAATAGGGGGTGAGCCTATTGCCATATACCAGGTACATTTCCAGATTCCGTGCTACTTAGATATTTTTTTTAAAACCCATTAATACTTTGAATTTTACGCACTTTCTTATTAATAATGTAAACAGGTACGCACGTATGATACTTTTTATTTTCAAAGTCCCAACATTTCCCGGAATTTAGGCTTTAGTACTAAATACCACAGGACACCACGTATTTGATTAGGCTAAATAAGATCTTATTGGTTATAGGTAGTTATTTAACCTCGTATCCCTTAATTTATTACGTTCATCACGGAACTGAGGGACGGTCCATTTCACGAGCATGGTGTAGACACTTGGTGGACGGTCGTAAAATGCACCTTCATGTCGTCAACACTAGTTTTCTTTTCGTACCGGATGAGTGTTAAGATTACTTTAGATTACCTTATGTCACCCATTATTGGTCCACATCACGCACAAGACTCCAATACGAATGTAAAGACTACAGATTCTTTAGATTCAGGTGCCAATTTATTCTGAAAGAATTATAAAGAGTTTTATAGACTTATCAACGTACCCGAAAAATATTTTGAATGCATCAATACCTACTGTTAAATTGCAAAACACTCCTCTATCCACTCTTTCACTGTATGTCGGTACCAACTCTGGTCTCTCTTCGTACTCCAATTCAATATTATTCTGAAAGCATACATTCATTTGTATAGGTACTTACAATTTTGGGGGTAGCCAGTAAACGAGCAGATGGATCACGTCCTGATGGTAAGCAATCGACGTCGCCCATGGACACCTGAGGCCTTAGTACGAGTTCGAAACGAGTACGGTGTACCGAGTAGTGGTGGCCGGCGCCAATGAAGCAACCAATCAGAGCGTCGAATGCGTACTCGTTACGATTACTTTACACGTAAAACAAACTCGTACTAAGACCTCAGTACTGTAATACTAGAGGCGATGCAAGTGCGTTTCCGGCCTTTAGGGGATTAGGAATTTGAGGATTCTTGGGATTTGGGATTGGGGAGATTGGGGGGAGGGGGATTTATTAAGGGAGTTTTTGGGTTTCCGGTAACCTCGCTCACACGACGAAACACAACGCAAGCGTTGTTTCACGTCGGTTTTTTGTGAGGCTGTGATTTCACTCCGCTCGAGCCGGCCTATTCGTGCCGATTTGCCGAAGCATTGCTCTCCCACCCAAATACATAATAATAAGTAGGTATACAAAGTTGAAACTGTACCTATTATTGCACTTAACATTGCCAGCATTATAAACATAAGGTCGATAAGCAATTGTCAATCAGGTAAGTAATCCTCGGCGGCTACGCTGTTGAAGTATGTACCTATCCTACCTGTGACTCCTCTGGTGTTGGTTGTCTATATGTGTCCATGGGCGGCGCTGATTGCTTACCATCAGCACAGTAGAAATAAACGAACAGTACGGAAACTGCCTACAAACGCTCGGAAACGGCACACTCACACAAACATACGCATCTACGAGACCGATAAGCTATGCTCGCAGTGCATGAGTAGTGCGTGTCGCGTCAAGACGAGTGGTCAGGTTTGAGTTTACTTTGAGTAATTTTAATTAAGTTACACCATATTGACAAGTTTAAGATCTAAAACTTGTTATATCAATATTAAAATATTTTCCATATTTTTAAACTATTTTGCTCAGGTTAACCGACGCAACGACGGCGACGTCACGAGATTACCATTTAAATCATCATC